GCCGTCATCGAGGGGCTCAGTGGGGAAAAAGAAACGTATGAAGCACATGCAAAGAAATGAAAGGCTCCACGACATATTAAGGAAAAGCCAGTTTGAGAGTGGTTATGCACTCTTTGAGATTGAATTAAGAATTAAGGAACAAATTGCAAAAAGGACTAAAAGATTAGACATAACAGGAACGGGAGGAAGATAGAAATTAGCAGGTCGCGCGGCTGCACTTCTGATTTACTTCTCGACAATCCTTATTGATATATTTACGGGGTCCACCTAATGGTAAAGCAGCGGAACTTTCTCAAAGCCCGATGTTTTCCATGAAGATAACGAAGAATTTATTTATTTATTTATTTATTTATTTATTTATTTATTTATTTATTTATTTATTCAAATTTCAAATTCAATTTCAATTTCATCGAAATATGATTCCAATGAATGATTAATGAACCGATTTCAGATTGCAAATACGATCCCCACCCTTGTGGCAGCCCCATTGATCGGCACATGGTCCGACAAAAAAGGTTGGTAGTTTCTGAGAGAGCACCCTCAGCATGCCGAGCTTTATATTTAATTTAGTCGTTTTTGTCGTATTTACTTGTTTTTCCTTTAAGAAATTTCTTTGTCACCTGTGTCATGTTTCTAAGGTGAGCCGTGCATTGAGCTTTTATTTTGAATTGTGGGGGAATTTCAGTGCTCATTTTTATTTTGTTTATTTATTGCACACGCTCAGAAAGATGCATAACATAAACGAAAGTACACATTATTCATAACAAAAACTTTTAAAAAGCGATGAGGAAATATGAAAGACTTTGCTTGGGAGGAAGCTATCACAGGGATTCCTCACTCCCAGCAATGCAAACTTCCATCTGGACAGAAAGACCGATGGATGACCCATGTAGGAGATAGAAGTGGTTCCTCAATCAGTAGTTTCTACCGAAGGTATACAATGATTCTCTGGGGCACCATTCTTGGTTTACCAGTCACCAGAAAACAAGTCTTTAAAGGCACAGTTCACGATAATTTTGAGGTACCCGTTTTCTTCGAAAAGCGGAAGTATACATCGGGAATAGTTCATCGGTAGTGAAAAAAGCGAGAGAATTCGCCGATTTCTAAAAAAATATGGCTATTCAAAAATAGTTAAAATAGAGGTTGGACGAGATGGCCATGCCGGAAATAACATGGAAGGGACGAGATTTCTGTTATTCAATTGCGCAAAAAGCTGACTACATAAAGCCAGGACTGTACAGAACTGTATTTCACTGTCGCTAGGGGTCGTGACAAGTTGTTTGTACTTCCTACATGAGTTCCCTTGTGTTCGGTGCAGCCTCTATAATGCCGGTGAAGCTCGTCCGAGAATACTCACGGGTCAATCTTTGAGCCTTTATAACTCCCTAACTAGGCCGTATTCCGACGTAATAGTCCAAATATGGTATACGCGGGGGCCTCTAATTCATCGTGTGGGAATTCTCAGAAAACCTTTTTATCGTGAACTATGTCTTTAAGTCTAACCTCGACCCTGTCTACACTCCGTCTTGATTCTTTACTGGTATTTGCTCTCCGTTCCCTTTATTGCCACAGTGTTCTTACCTGGAAATAAAGAACAGCACTGCGAGCACCCCAAAAGTGCAGTTGCACTTTTTTTTGGAAGGATCAGGCCCTCGTTTAGTGAAAAACCAGTTGATGGAAACTATTGTCACATTCAAAAGAAAGAAAGCTCGGATGCATGGCGCATCAAGATAAGATCATTAAAGTTACGCATGAAATAAACTGTTCAAATTTCAATTAAGAGTGAGTATCGATCAATTCAATAGCTGGCAAAATTATTTGAATTTTTCAGGGCGTAAAAATCCTCTTCTCTACACGTTGCTTGGATTTTTACTGTACACAATGTGTCAACTGATGGCTACCTTAACCTACCAATATGTCAATATTTATAATTGGTATTTTGCTGGCGAAATTTTGATTGGTTGGTCATTATAGCAGTGTCATTACATGAAAATGGAAGGAGAATACCTTTAATATTAGAGCTCACTAAGAATTTCATTTCAATTTAGTTAGGACTTCTTTTTTTCAGTCCTTTTTATGACCGCTTTGAACAGTTTTTTTATTATTGGCTTACTCTTCTATTACAATTAATTTTCAGGTATTACTGGAGGTATGGGATCGATTTTTGGCACCTCACTTGCAATAGTAACCGATGATTGCCGTCATAAATTAAGACCGGTAAGTCGATTTACCCATAATACGCTATACCAGTTGGAATATAACCCATGAAAGTCCAAGTTTCGATAGTTCAGGGGTCGTGTCTAACCTAAGAGAAGAAGTAGTAACCCTAATTTCCATCTTATTTCCATGTTCTGGATTCAGCTTACAATTCCATGTCCTGGATTTAGCTCGCAATCAAGAATCCCTGTTGGGTAGATGTTGAAGGCATGGCTCATTCTAAAGGCGGCATCCCTAAAGGGAAGCTACCATGTGAAAGTTACTGAACTTTAAAGGGCGCGAAGGAAACCTCTACTCATAAGACTTGAATGTGCTGCGCCCTTTCCCAGCAGAGAATAGTTCTACATTGTGGTGAAGAGGCTTCCGTCCTTACTAGGCCATTTCCGAGAACAGCTATGAACCAGCACAGTACCCGAACTAGTTTTTCGAGAAAATGTTGACAAATAATTACTCTCTTTCAGGGCTCGTCGACTGTCCCAATGCGGATCGGTGTTGCATCGTTTGTACAATCAATCGGTTCGATTCTAGGGACCCTTGGTATGTCCTTACTGGCTGTACCCACTCAGTCAGGGGGTCACCTTCATCAGCTCAGTTATATCAAATCTACTTCTGTGCGTGAGTTTGCTAAGATATTCCCTTGTACATTGTTCAAAAGTCTCAAGAGTGTAGAGTTTTGGCTATTTCATGTTTAAATACTGGCGGTATCGTTGGTAATTCTACCTCCGACGGTTTTTTTTTCTTATTTACTATATTCGAATAAAAGTGAGAGCTTAAAATTTTTCAGAGCTGAGTTTTGCTTTGATAGCTCTTGCTTACGCCTTTATCATGGTTCGAGAGACGCATTTTCCGTTGGCTGATGGATATCTGTACAACAGGCTTGATGGTAAGATGAGTCAGAAAAATTTTGAGTCATTTTCATGACCGACTGATATCAACTGTATACAAATGGAAATCCATCATTACTCAGGAAACAGGGGGCTCTTACCGTATGCCCAATTGCCCCTACAAACGCTCCCATGAAGGCCTCTAGTTCTCTTTACGAAGTTTTCACAAAGGTTTGTTCCTTAGAGTCGTCTAGTTGCTACCGTATCATGCGATTTCGTTGGATACCCCGGGCCAATGAAAGTTCCGGTTGCCCAAGAGCCTTGCGTTACAGTGTCCAAATCATCCGCTGACAATTTTGTACAAATTTTTGGGAGGACCATTTTTTGTAACTTTTTTTGCAAAAGACTCTCAAAAGAAATGCTGAACTCAGTTTTTCGATCATCAACGTGCTAAACACACCCCTCAACTGCATATGAGAGTCGAATGCATGGCGCGTCCCACTGAGAGTGATCAATTTTGCATTTTTCGAACATCACCACTGGATTCCCACCTTGACCGATTATTTTTTTTATTTTTCTATTCATTCTTCGGATTCAATTTATTATTATATTTTTCGTTTGCGGCTGTATTCTCTGAGCATTTGTAAATAAGTAGTTATAATATTATATTATACAGTATCCATGAACAGCTTTTTTAGGCGCATCTTCAACTTCACACATTGAGCAGCCCAAGTCATTTATCACAAAAGTACGAGAGTACATGTGTGCTCTAGTTGACGTACGTCTCTCTCAATTTCATTTATTTTTTTTATTTTTTTGGCTTTAAAAGAACTAAATTTCGTTAAAAATCATTTAGAAATCAATTGGAATAGTAAATAAAAGATTTAAAGGCTCGGAAGCCATTAAATATCATCGAAATTCTTGTGATCCTCTTAGAACCCAATAAATTCTTGTGACCCTCTAAGAACCCAATTTCTAAAAAAAAAACATTTTTTTTGAAAATTAGCCTGGGTTTCTTCGTTCTTTATAGTTCTTTTGTAGTTTGTTCCACGATTGACCCGAATCTTCCGGTCGGCACTTTTGTAGATTGTAATTTTTGCACTTTTAACGATTTCTACCGGGTTGTCTTCCGTTTGTGATTCGTCTTCCTTCATCAAATATCGATCTCATCACAAAATCGGGCTCTCCTATTGTACTCAGTCACGTAGGTAGTACAGTGGTCCGTCTCCCATGCGGGAATCATTTATCATTTTCGTCACATTATCATTTCAGAAGTTATTGCAAAATCACGAGTCCTACAATAATTTAAGTAAAAACGGAAAAAATTATTGATCACTGAATTTTCAATGTTCATAGGGGTAAGGGGTGAAAAGTAAACTCGAATAATTCTAGGTGTTGACCAGAAAACGACCCGGATGGACTCGTTGCTGTTTGATTATGTCACTATTTTTCATTATGGTTGAATTCTTGGCATTAGGTGAGTAATACGATTTTTTCATAAGTTTTTTTCAAACGTAAAATGCGAAAACCTTTGATTCCTTGACTTCCAACGCTCATACATATGGGCGGCAGGTTGGAAGTAAAAGGTAATAGGTAAAGTTAACAGAAAGGGCTCACTGGTTATGAACCTGGGCAGTTTTCTCGTTCTATAATGTCACCCAGAAGTGGTTTTAATCCAGAGATCTTGAGAAATAAAAGTTTTTTCCGAGGTGAGCCACCCATCTCTTTTCATTTCGAAAATTCAGAGGGCTTTGAAGAGTTCCTGAGCAGAGATTGAATGGTGGTTTACTTTTGTACCTTATACTATGACCGCAACCTCTTACAGTAGATTCAGGCTTACCGAATTCAGACAAAGTATTTTTATCAAATTTCAGAAATTAATTTTCACTCCCACGTGAGGTGATTCGATTTGGAGTTTCCGATGGGGCAGAAGTTTCAATTTGTCTGGGAGGTATGACTAAAATTCGGTTCACAGGCTCACGTAGAGTTCTACAGGCTCCCCAATTGCCCAGCCCCATTTCCAAGGCCAGTGCAGAGGGAGAAAATTGTCATTCCCAGATCAAGGTCCTTGTTTGACCACGAAACCTTTGGATCCGAATGCACACTCCAGCTGAGATCATTTATGGAATGAGGCGACTTCTATTTCTTCCTGGAAGCTCTTTTTTCTCGAACAACACCTTCTAATTTCAGGTTTTGCTTTACCGTAACCTTGCAGTAATGAGTGAGATTTCAGATTTATCGTTGCTATTCCTATTGGTGAAACGACCGCCATTTTCATGGAGTGACAAGACGTTCAGTAATTTTTCTGTGATCAGAGGGGTGCTATTCTCACTTGGAATGGTACTATGTGGGTTCAAACACTTTCACAGCTTCTTCAACGCCTCCCTTGAATGAAATTGGTTTCCCTGAATATTTAGGTCCATTGATGTTGACTTTTGTCCATTGGCTAGGAAAAGACAGTCTTATGATTATCCTCGGTATTGCTGCGTCCGCGACATCTTTCCTACTCATATCATGTGCTACGACAACTATGCAGATTTTCTTGAGTCAGTTTTTGAGCTCTTCTTTCAACTTTATACATTTATTTTTGAAGCTTTCGGTCAATCGTTTTTTTTCGAGAAACGGAAATCGGAATTGATGACGAAAAAAGCTATTTCTGCATAAATCTGTGCAGTTATATCGCCAATATTGGCGTACGCTCTCAAATCCGAGTTTTCTTCTCCTTTTTTCAGCCGCTGGTCTAACTTTACTTTGCGGTGGTATAGCTCCGGGCTATCGGTCGTTTTTACCACGGATGGTACCTAAAGAGCAGACGGCACGATTGCTCACAGGTATGTTTCAAACTTAGAATAAAAGCTAAATTTCCTAGAATTACTGTAAAATCCTTGATATTGTCTGGTGGACTGGTGGAATTTGAAATCAAATGAAAAAGTAGCGGTGAAATTCGGTCACTCATGATTTTTTTCATGGAGCTTGAAGGCACAGTTCACGATAAAAATTGTTTCTGAGATTCCCCATGGGATGAATTAGAGGCCCCCTTGTATACCATATCTGGGGCTATTAGGTAAGGAAACGGCTCGGATAGGGTGTTATAAAGGATGTTTTAGAGTAGTTTTGGTATAGCTCAGTCTTAATATGCTCAAGTTTTCTGAACGAAGGCGAGGAAGAAGGTCTCTCGGCCAATGTAAATTCGAGTTCTGTTGCCTTTTTTTCATTTTCTTTCCGGAGCCTTGTTGTGACATATCCCATAAATCCTTTTAACCCTCCTTTCCTGGAAATTTGCATCCTGCCCGTTGGGGAGTGGGCATACGGGCAGGATGCGAATTTCCCACTTCTCCGTATCTTTTTAACATTAGTCACCACGAAAATTGTACGGACGGTGCTGTTTGGTAGTACTGGTGGTTCATCCATTAACTTGATGCCTATTACCATTTCTTTTTAACTTGTAAGTAGAGAAAGTTCAATGCTGCACTTGTAAGTAGAACAAATTCATCGTAAATGTGAACTTTTGGGTAATGCCGTTAGAAGGCCCTAAATCAAAGAAAAGACCTTTTCAAAAACAGGCTGACCGAAGAACTCGTTTCAATCGTAAGATAAAAAGGCTAGGGAGTTTCTTGTGAATGTGCATCAACAAAATGGAACTTAATGGACAGTGTAAAGGAAGGTGTCACAGAGTGGCTCCTCTAAAAAAACATCAATCAGTCGCCATCAAAATTGTTCGTTCGGTTCTGATCAAGAGTTTTGGGGGATCCTTCATTGTCAGTTGGATTTAAACAAAAAGCTAAGCAGAGTAGACTGCTCTGTTGCTCATTACAAGGGCTTGCCATTAAAAAATCCTCGCAATGGCTCAGTGGCAAGATGCGCTGGTACAGATCATTCGCTCCTTTTTTGTCCAGTAGTACGGCCTCATCCGGTTGAACGTCCGTTTTCTTTCTTATCTGATTGTTGTTAAAGCTCGCCAGGAAAAATCGTAATACCTAATCATAGAACCACTTTAAGCACCTGTAAATGAACGCTATACCCATTCAATCATTTCGAAATATTTACCGCAACGACAATGCATGGCGCATACCTAACTACTTTGCTATTTATTATTGCTATTTAGTGGTTTCGATAATCATGGCATTCACTCCAATGCTGTCTTCATTGATATTTAATCCAATTTTCAATGCTACACTTGGTTGGTGGCCAGGATTTGCATTTTTCATTGGAGGAATTCTGCAACTGTTTGTTGTAGCTGGACAAAGGTAAACAATTTCTGATTTTTTAAAAAATTTTCTTGGAGAAAATTAATTTGAATGCGATGTGTGGCTAATCATTTCTTTTGTTCGATTAATTAAATATTATATTTATTAATTCTTCGTTATTATTTTCAGTGGAGTCCACTGCCTTATGAGACCTCAGTGGTTAATCGAGAAACGATTAAAGGCCCAGATGAATACCCATTCGTTGACAGTTGGGGATGACTACTCAGGTAAGAGATTCCTTTAGTTTTAAATAAACATAATAAATCAATAAAATAGATAAACGATTATACTAAACTGTTGTAGTAATGAATAAGTGAAGTATGTAAATTGAAAAAAATAGAAAAAATAAGTTTTCCGTTCTAAATTGTGAGTCAAAGGCTATGGTACTTCTCGAGTCGAACTTTTAAAACTAAACTTTCCTTTCTGAAGATACTTTTGGGAAGTTGAACGCCTATGAGCTCTGGTTCAGGTGCTACCGAGGCACCTCCCCTGAGTAATCGGAAAAAACTCCTAGTCCTCTTTCCAGCCCTTTTTCTGAAAAAATAAGAAAGTAACTATCTGGCAACTTTTGAACTCGTAAACCTAAAAAAGAGGGCTAGAGATTTTTTTCGTAGCAATGGCGAGAGACGGTAACACCTTCCGTCAGTTGAAGCCAGTTATGGACTCTGATAATATAAGGACACCGACTGGTATTAGCAGCCGGCTCTCAAAGCCCTTATGCAGACCAGAAGCCCATTCCACTACAACTATGTTCTAGAATGAGACCCGACTGCGTGGCGCATTCCAGAAAAGTTTTTTTCTAGGGAATGATATTTACTACTGCTATTTGTGAAGGTCTGCCAAACCGCCTTTTGTAGGTGATGTCGAGCAAAGCCGGACAACCTCAAGCGCAGCTGCTTCATCGGATCTCAACATCGCTGGCGATTCTTTGGAGGAAGAACGTCAAACCATTCACATGTAGACGACTGGAACGGTGGGATCGGATCCGAATCTCTTCCAGGGCAATAACTGAATGCGGGAAATGATTTTTTGTAATTTTGTAAATACCATATCCCCGTGATTTTCCTCCTTTTGGACATATCAGAAAATCAAGATGGAGCCGGTGTTCGAACTGTATTGTATTGATTTTGTATATTGATCGATGTCTATACATCTTTTTCGATTTTCAACGGGCATATTTATGTAACAATAAATAAGCAATAATTCCTCGCTGTAATCTGTCAAATCCGGTGTTCGCACATTCAAGAAGGTCTGGACCTTTTATACGAAATTCACCTAAATCATGCTGCGCTCGAGGTAAATGGGTCGCAAGGCACCATCGGGGTCATCGCCTGCGGCGGCTTCAGGCGGTGACCTCGATGGCGCCTTCTTGACGTCTTTTCAGGCTAACATTTTGCTATACTTCCATCTTTTCTCATTAGGTCTGTTACTGATTAATCGCAAAGTCCCGGTATTATTCTATCCATCGATGAAGTGGAATTCTAATTCCTAGCTCATTTCTAAGATTTTTTGTCAATATTCCCAGTAGGAGGGCGAGATCAACTTCGAATAAAAGGAATAAAAGAAAAAAACATTTGTGAAGAAAGAGGAAGGAGAATGATAAAAATGTATGGCGTGAAGAAGAAATTTTTGCTAAAAGCCAGCCCAGAATCGGGCTTCGAACAACTGTCACGTCAGGAATCGCTGAGCTGGCAGGGTTCGTCGGGTGCGCTTCGTTGCGCGCGTCCGTCGAAACTAGGTCATGCCGCAACCGACCGTCGCATGCGGCGGATCAGCCGCGATCTTTGGCAAACGTCGCAGTCGTCAGTGGGGCATACGAATTGCGCTTGGTCCACGGCATCCAGCCAAAAGATAAGATCACACGACAAAATGCAAATCATTCGCTCCACTGACACTTGGTGGTACTGTAATGTCATTTCGAGACCTCAGTGGAGTGCGGCGCGCGCGAAGTGGGCGGGGTGACCTAGTTTTGACGGACGCGCGTAACGGACGTTCTCCGGGTTCGTCGACCTGATCTGAGCGCGATGGCATCGCTGACGCCTCCTGATATACCCGATCTGGTGTACGGTAGCTCGAAAGATTTGTCCAAATCAGTGATGCGTACGGTGGGGTTCAGAGGGTGATGAGGGAGAGGAGGACACAGTAGGTTACGATCTAATCTTCTATCTCTCACTGAGGTTCTGCTGCCATAAATACCAAGGAAATCGATAGCGTACAAACGCTATCCAGTGATACTTCACGTAGGAAAACAGAAAAAAAGTCTCTAAAATTTTTTCCGGAGAAGGCCCCATTAGCAACGAGCTTGAAGAGGTCTCACTGAACACTCTCTCGGTAAGAGAGCACAGACACTAGCGAAGCGCAGGCTTGCTGCTTCCGCTCGCGACATTCCCAGGTGATCGCCATTGTTTATGTTTACCTCGATCAATCGTATCTATCACAGAGGTGAATTTGTGAGGTGGTGTTTCTTACTCCGTTGTGCAGTTGATTGATCCGATGATGGGTTTTTGTGATGAAATCGCAGTTTGTTCGCCTTTTCTACGTCTTTGTGAAAATCACTTTTGTTTTCTTACTCCTTTGAAGCATTCAATCCCTACTTCGTGATATTCGTCTTCCAAATGACTTGCGGAAGTGTGACTTATCCCTTTGTGGTTAAACATTGTCATTGAATACACTTTTCGCCTTTCCTTTGGAAATTTCTGAACAGATGTTGGTCCACAACTCGGTTTGAAATAAGCTATTTAACTGGAATCACGATATCTTTTCTGACCAGTTTCTTTGAAAGATCAGATAAAACTGAATTTCAAAATTATATTTCATTCATTACATTTGTATAATGTGTATCACAATTAAGTACATGTTTCAAAAGGTAAACTGTCAATAAGTCCCAATACCTAAACTTCTTTACGTTTTGCATTGAAGAACTGCCTAAAGAAGGGTATCTTGGGTACTTCACCACCCCAGGAGAAAACGAATCTGATGACCTGGTAGGTTTATCTTTGGTTAACGGAACTATTCCTTCTTTTTTCATTAACCATCCCGTTTCGATAATTTTTTTACCCACTTTTACTTTATTTTACGAAAACTTACAGATTTTGCATGTCTTAAAAATTACTATCGGAAATAAGTAGATGACACAGTGCTTTCATAACCTTTTTGTTCTAAAATTCTCGAAACTTCTGAAGAACCTTCGTCGAGCTCTGTGCCATCCCTACTGATTACGTCCGCCTAGATGTTCCTCTTTCCCATGTCTCACATCCTTCCCGAGAAGTAGTGAAACATTGTTGTCAAAGTATTTCCCACGCTCTTGACCTGATAACCTTTCCTCAGGACATATTCACGGTGTTCTGTGTGGTTACAGGCGCAAGGTGGTCCTCCCGTTCCCGTAATTAGCAGTCCAATGTGATGTGTAAGTTGAAAGGGCGTATCGAGTTGTGGTTATATAACAAGAGGCTTCCAAGTAAACTGCTCAGTTCCTATCATATCGACAAATTGATCCATTATCCTTTCTCTATGTGGAATTTCGTTTTCTCGAATAAAGAAAGTGGTTTTACGAAAATTAGCAGTGAGTAAGGTTTCTTTCTTATCTGGTATTATCCTTTCAATAGTTTTCTTTCTTTTCTTACTTATTTTCCTTTGTACCATCTTTGGAACCACTTATTGAAGACAAATTGATGTGCTCATATCCTCCCTTTCTTCAGTTCCCCTTCCCTTTTTGTGTGTTTGAACACATCCGTCTGTCGTTACTTTTTTGACATTTTGTTTCCTTCTTCTTCATCCATAGCTTTTAGTTTACCAAACCCATGCCATTATGGGTTTGTCAATAGTTATATTGCTACTGGAACTGCTATATGTGTCGGCTAACAGCGATGAAGGCCCTTGCCATCCGTATGCTTGTGGCTTTGGCGAATGTATACCGGAGGTTGGTCCCCTTTTTTTGTTTCTTTATGATATCTTTGAATTTTAAGTGTTCCAATAAACAATTTTTCATTTTTATACTTGAAACCGGTGTTGTGACTCAAAGTTTTCAGTTCTCGAGATCTCGGTTCATGTTTTCGGTTCAGGGGTCCATAATAACCAATGCTTGGGAGGTTATCATATTTGAGATGTCATAGGTGTTGCCAGCCAAATTTCCCCCTTTTTCGTTCTCCCTTCTTGCTATACTCAACCCTAATTTGTCCTGAACTTGCTCCTTTCACTGTTTCCTCGGCTTTGTAAGTAGGGTTCACAGTATCGTGATTTCTAAATGACAGCCCACTGATATGAACTTAGCTCTTTCATCATTTTCAATTGATTTGACAATGCGGGTAGCAGATTTCGCTTTTCAGGGCACCTCATTCCGGTGCAAATGTCGAGATGATCACGTTGGCCCCTTGTGTAACATATGGCGGTCACCATTGGTCAACTGTGAAGTAGACGGTCCTCATTCATGCTTCAATGGCGGAATCTGCAATACGACTGAGAATGAGTTCAGATGCGTATGCCCTCCCAGTTTCACAGGTTCGGTTATTTCTCTTGCTTTCAGCTGCCTTATTGAGTTTACTATTCTACAGGGTTATTCTGCGAAACAGATGTCGACGAATGCTCCACATCCCCGTGTGAAAATGGTGCCACATGTGTAAACCAAATTGGATCTTTTTATTGTATGTGTCCTTATGGGTACAAGGGTACAACCTGTGAAGAGCATATCGAAGTTTGTTCACCTAGGTGAGACTAGGACGTGTCAAATGCTCACTATTGTTGGCCGACGAATAATTAATCATTTCTGGGCTCCGACGTTGGCAACAATTTCTCACCCTCTTAATGAGATTTGACAAATTTGAGGAGTTGTTTAGAACTTGCCTCAACGGCGGTTTCTGTATAGACGGTGCCGATGGTTATGTCTGTCAGTGCGCTCCAGGTTTCAGTGGACAGCGTTGTGAGGAAGAGAAGCCCCGTTTCACTGCAAGGACAACTGTCAGTACCGAAAAGTAGGTCCCCAATTTCTTTAATGTAAAAAGACCTTCGCTATCGAGATGGCCCACACTTTTCCCCATGTCTCAGCGATGAAGATAATCCCTTATGGGAAAGTCGTAAAGGAAAAAGTAAAGGTGAATTGTTCCTTATGTGAGTATGCGACATTTTTTAAAGCCATTCATTTTGTAGTAATGATACAAATAATCAAATAGGTAGCTACTCACCTAGGTAATATTATTGATTTTGCTTCAATTTCTCCCTTTCTGAAATAGCTATTTTAGCGTCACTCCAACTTTATGCGCCGGTTGTCCTTCCAAATCGGGTAATGGTCGCTGTGATGAGGAGTGTGATCGACCGGAATGCTTGAATGATGGTGGGGACTGTACCACCAAGAATATTAGCCCATTCAATGCTTGTGCACATGCCGAGTACTGTGCTCGGGTGTTTCACGACGGAATATGCGATAAGGTAAGGGTATTTCATTAATTGCGTTAACATCACCCTGTTGTGCCATTGCACTCGCAATTGTAACTTATGTATCACTTCCCCGGAACTTCGATATTCATTCAAAGAAACGTCAGTGAAAGTACGCAGGTTATAAGGGTTAAAAGTAAATCAGTAATAACTCCAAAAATCCAAGGTTTGCTATCAACATGTGGCAAGACGCCCTTCTTTCTTCGCGTTGGAACAAAGAGGAACCTCTCCTCGTATATTTCTCGTGAATATAGACCCTTTCTAGAATTCCATAGCAAAAATTACTGTGAAGTCTGAAATGTTTTTTTCTGCAGATTTGCAACAACGAAAAATGCCTTTTTGATGGATTCGACTGTCTCCCCAGAACGCCCAAATGCCCGAGTCGTTGCAAATCCGTGAAGCATAACGGCATATGCGATGAGGAGTGCAATCGAGAGGAATGTGATTTCGATGGTGGAGACTGTGAACTGACTACGAAAATCGTAAGTTTCACGCTCTTCCCATTTTCTAGAGAAATAGGGTACATGATAGGTTCAACTATTTACAGCTGTCTGGTGAATTGTCCATAGTGGTGTTAATAAGACCTGAGGTCTTTGCTGCTAATGTGGTGCAATTTGTGCGTTCGCTGAGCCTATCGCTGAGATCTGACATACGTATCAAACACGATGATCTTGGTCCCATGGCTTTTGCATGGAACGATGGAGAAATCGGCGAACGGCTGACTCTCAAAGGACAGGTATGGATCATTTGGACTTTCGATTTTAGGACTTCTTTCTCACCGCGATGTTCTAAGTGAATTGAAGTCGACACGTTTAAACTAGCCCTTTTTCTCAACTTCCGATGATTAATTTAAATTTTGTTAGCGAGCGTTAAACGTATAATCAGTAGCTTTGTAAACCCTTGTAAGAAAACACCTTATATTCTGCTTTCCGTCTTCCGTTTTGTTTTTAATTTTCTTTTTACTTGCTTGACAGTTCCCCATCAATCTGACTTCAATGAGTAATTGTATTTGCGCAGGTATTCGATTTTTCGTTCAGGGTTCTTCGCTCGTTTCTGCAACGTCTTCATATTCTAAAGGAAAGGAAGGGGTCCTTGTATGGGTAGAAGTGGATGTATCGAAATGTGTTGAAGAATGTTTCGATGATGTTGAAGTCGTAGCCAAATTCATCGAGGCTGATAAGAATGTAAGTATACAAGTTTAGAATATTTCTATAAATTCTTCTCAACCTTGTAGACATTTGCTTTGGAATCCATTTATTCCAGAAACTCTCAGAAGCCCTGAGTATGTCTATTTACTCGGCTGTTGGGAAAAAGCCAAGAATTCGTCATGATTCCTTCGGAATCACGCTACTGTTTGTCGTTGCCTGTGTTTCCCTGATGATCCTAGTTGCACTCCTTTTTATAGTCCAACAGAGAGGCAGCAGAAAACGAAAAGTGATTGAAAATGCTCCAGTGTGGATTCCACCTACGGAATTCGAAAGTACGAGATGTTTTCGCAACTTTTCCTTGATTATGTGTAATATTTACTTGTATATTCATTTATTCATTGAAGTTTATTTATTCAAGATCATAAGTCCGAACGGCTAGCTAAAGAAAGGAATCGTCATGATTTTATCGATTTTAAAAGTGCGAAGCGTAAGCGTTTGGATCCAGCAGAGGTCAAGCTGCTCGAAGACAAACTGACCCCAATTGTGCCAAGGCCAGTTTCAATAGCTCTACATAGATAATTCAATCATGCATTCACTTTTGTTCAATCAATTTGTGTTCTTGTTTCAGAGTACGAGTAGTTGTGAAGCCAAAAAAGATGGAGCCTAAGCCTTCTAAACTGCACATGGAAGCTGCATTGGATGAACCACTTTCTTCTCTATCTCCTAATGAAGATATCAACCGGAAAGGGCCATATGGACGCACACCAGTTATGGTGCTTGTTAGGAACACCTTGAAAACGGAGGATCAGCTTATCGAAGAATTGACCAAGTTGCATGCAGCCGGCGCTGACCTCAACTTATGCGATGACTGTAAGTTCATTTGTTCAAAATTTACAGTGTGCAAAAATGCCCCCTGAATAGATTGTTTTCGGCCATTTCCTTTGCCTATGACACAAGCACTTCACAAGGGCGTAGCACTGCCAAACATCTTGTATTGCGTAATAATTGGCAGTAAGCTTCAATGTCGGTGTAATTCTTGTGGTGGTTCTCCAAACGGTATCCCATTTTTCGGTTTTTCTTTCTCTCCATGCTTTCTTCTAACTTGAATCACTTCGCATAATTGAAACTGAGAGAAACTGTGTATAAATAAACCAGCTGTCAGTTGTTAGACGGCTCGTGGATTTTATGTCGGAAGCTTGACGCTTTCTCGTTAAGCTAGCACAAAGTTGACGTTTTTCATAACAGTATTTCTCAAGTACTTAGACTTTCCCTTAAAGTTTACTGAACTCCCATTTCAGGTGACGATACCGCCCTGCACATCGCTGTTTCTTCTGGTCGTGTAGCCATTGTTCGTAAACTACTGCAACTTGGTGCATCTCCAGTAATCCGAGACCGAACAAATTCCACCTGTCTTCATCTTGCTGTTCGAGCTTGCGCTTTGAACATGACGGCAGTACTTCTGGAGAATGAGGAAATGCGTCAAGAAGTACGTTGTGATGTGGGAAGTCGATAAAATCTACCGACTTAGATGACTTTGCAACTTAATTTCAGGTAGATGCTTTGGATGACGAAAACAGGACAGCGTTGATGTTAGCGGCAATGTATGACATGGTGGACACTAAGATTGCTGAAATGCTATGCGATGCGGGAGCAAAAGTGAACTACGATGGAGATAATGTGAGTGACTTCGTGAGTGGGATGAAATAAAAGGAAATTAAGTAATTGGTGGGAATCCTCCAAGGTGCTTTCCTTGTTTTAGTTCCCTACGGGGCCGCAGAGTCATTTTAATGAGCGCCGAATTGCTATTTGATAATCTTGGGTAGTTTGATAACTCGAGAACCCAGGCCATATATAATCGCGGATACTCTGTGTGGTTTCTTCAGCTATAACGTCAGCTCTGCTCCCTGAATGGGTTTTAATTATCCTGTACATTTTTCAGAGTTTGACGACATGGAAAGGAAGAACGGCACTCCATTTTGCAGCGAAATATAATAACACTGGAATGGTGGCGTTTTTGTTAGAGAAGAATGCGAACAAGGACTGCCAGGACTATGAGGTTAGCTAATTTTGGCTGATTTCAGTTTGTTTTTGGACCTTTTTGGCATCTGAAGTGTACAGTGGGTGTGTTTTAGTGCTGTACTCCACTGCATCTGGCTGCATCGGAAGACCATGTAGGACCGATAAAAGAGCTTCTTAAAGTTGGTGCAAGTGTAATGTTGAGAAATGACAAGGTGAGCAACGAAAAATTTCGTTACTTTATGATAATTAAATTGCTGTAATCCACTTTGCTGATTTCTGAGGCGAGATGATTCAAATGCTCTACTGTATTTCGCTGATATTTGTTGTCCCAAATGTTTTTTTTTCGAATTTTACAATATTAGATTAACAGTAATTTGGATTTTGGTCCACGTGAATTGAAAAATTAACTATTTCCTCCCCCTGAGTATTCGATCGGGCATCATTACGTCTACTGTGTTATGAAAGATTTTTCAAATGCAACTTGCAGTAGAGTGCCTCTAACTTGTAATTTTCAGTCACAAACTCCTTACGATACAGCTCTCGTGAACAACAGCGAAAATGTCGCGGCGCTGCTAGCTTCCGGTGACAACCTTCGTGTACAGCTATATTCGAATAATGGAGAAATATTCGCTTCTTCCCGAAAACCCGACTTCAAGGTTGGTACAAAGGATCTATATTGTGAAAAGATTCTTGCCACTCTTCTCTTATTTTACATGTTTAGTGTGCTAAAGTACTAATGGCAAGACATATGAGGAATGTTCGCGGACCACATTCCTCTGTTGGCTCGCCAAGATCTACTCAGTCGACTCCAGTACGATGTATGGTTACCTCTCCATACAATCATATCAGTACACCTCATTCCGTTTCTGCCTTCGGGTCGACGTACTCGCCGCAATACCCGATTCCTGCTATGAATGTCAACGGAGCTCCACCATCTGATCTTTATACCTTTGTGTTTATATTCGTGCTCGTTCAGGTGATGGCCTCTCCTGGATTCTTCGATTCTGACTACGGATCTGGAACAGATCGAAGCTCCTGCAATCGCAGTGCTCCATGGTCGGGTAGTGAAGGATTCCTCTCATCAAATGAACGGGTCGAATCAGCAAATAATTGGATAGTCAGTAATGATGAGTGTATTGTTTAGAAAGCTATTAGGAACTCGATCTTTCAAAAAGCTTATTTACATTTTGTATATATTTTGAACTATCTTCTGCTAAAATAAGGTTCATCAGTTAGGAAATATCCGATCGCTCAGGGTGTATTATATTGTTATTTTGGTACATGTGAGCGTATTTTTATGATGGTAATATCCTTCAATTTATCCCTGTGATTAATGTATATAGTTTCGTTTTATCATGTATTTATCTAGAGATAAAACAGTTTTGGAAGGGTTTTAGTTTCAAGTGGAAAGGCTTTGATGGCCATTTTTTCTATTTCCACCCATTTGCAATAACATTTTTCTGGGCTCTGGGAGAGGTAGTGAATGGGAGACATCACAGTCTCTTTCTAATTTCCCACATTAGGTTTTTGGACTGATTGCTCCTAATTGCGAGCGGTAAAAATAGTTTTGTTGTTTGAGAAAAATCGGATAAATCAAAGTGTAAACGCTGTTGTGGGCGAAGGCAATGGGAACGAGCTCTGACGAGGCTGAAACAGAAGTGATCGTGGGGCTTCTTCTACGAAAAGGTCCTGTGAGCTGAGGTAAGCACTTGTGCGTTTTGACTCTCATGTTTCGCTGAATCGGGAACATTTCACCAAGAGAGGCCGAGCGAGGGCATCAAGTAGAATAATTGGTAAATTGCAGAGGTGATCGTATAAAATTCCCGTATCCTCTAATTAGAAATTAGGGAGGGGGGTTGGTTCAAGGAGATAACTACTACTTCTCTACCCTGACCGCGATTCGAACGATACTGTCGATGCTGGCAGAACGCTACGCGCTACTGTGCTACCAGTTGATAACGGCAGTTGATCCAATTGAATATTTTTTGGGTGTGGGTTCAAATGGTGTCTGCTGCATTCAAGTTTCAATATTTATTCAATTTGTAAGGAAGAAACATGGTAAAATTCAGCAGTTTATTATTTGTGTTATCATGACTGCCCCTTATGTAACATACATATGCCTATTTCTTCTTCAATGCTTCTGTTTAGCACTGGTAGGGTACGGTGTTTCAGCTCTTCGGAACTTCCTCTGTCTTTCTTGTTTTGCTTTAGTTTTAACGGCAACAAGGAATTTTGCTAATATATACGTCAAAACGCCGAGTTGACTTATGAGAAGTATTCCACATATGAGCAATATTGCAGCCGCATAGCTGAAAAGAAACCTCAGCTACTTTTTAAGTAAATAAATAAACAAGTCTCTTTGAGCTCGTAACTCTTCCTACATAGTTTTACCCGAATCATAGGGGAAAGCAGCAGGAGAGCAGTTTTTCCTACAGTTTTTGCGCCCATTTTAATATTGCAGCCGCATAGCTGAAAAGAAACCTCAGCTGCTTTTTAAGTAAATAAATAAACAAGCCTCTTCGAGCTCATAACTCTTCCTACATAGTTTTAGCCGAATCATAGGGAAAACCAGCAGGAGAGCAGTGTTCCTTACAGTTTTTGAGCCCATTTTGGGATGCGCCGCACCTTCAATTCCTGGTACAGAATCGCGGTCATATATGATTGAATGCTTGGTCTGCAGAACTGGTTCCACTCATCTCCTCGTGAGTAGGAAGCTGGCATTTTACCCAGCGGCATTCTATGCAAGAACCGACCGACGAGCTGCGAGAGCGGGAAATGACGAAATACTTTCCGTAAAAATCTCTTAATCGAATGCTTGAGCTGCGAGAGCGGGAAATGACGAAATACTTTCCGTAAAAATCTCTTAATCGAATGCTTTTTTCGGCCCCGCCCAAGGTGCTAGTCCTTTCTGGAATTTCGTTCATGGGGTTAAGTGAAAAGATTATCATAGGGATTCATCGTCTCCACCCGACGCTTTTTCTGTGAGTACGGGGCAAAATGAATCAAAGAATGCCGATATGTAGATGGGTGAAGGAGAAGGAGATGGTACTCAATTGAGGGAATTTATCGTCGCCATAACAACTCTGACAACAAGAATATAGTCGGCGTGTGGGAACCACAGTCCCGATCATTGACAAAAATGTTTTTTGGATTTCCAGTATATTCACCAGATTGGAAGTGATGTGTGACCAAGTAAGATAGGGGATCCTTGAGTTGCTGTTAGCAATCCCCTTACATATGCGCCAGGCATAGGAGTTTCGGTTGAAACCAGAAGCGCATTTGATTGCTTGTTTGATCCGTACAACAGTTTACGTGGATCAGCCCAGTACTTGAGCAAATCTCTGAAACCAATACCATTCCATGACGCGTCGCGACCGCACGCGTCGCTACTGTTCGAATCGCTCAAATGTCACTTTTATGTCCAATTGTTTGTTCTACTGTAAGACACATACTTTGCACTTTTTTCCTCGTGCTTCATGTCACGGTCCTTCTTAAGAGAAATAATTTCGGCCCCCTGAAAGATAAAAACATTCAGTCAATCTAGTCCTTGATGTTTTGTTCGGCATATGCTCTTTCTTTCTCTATCTCTTTTTGAGCATTAGAAAGCATTAGTCAAGGGGATGGCTAGAAGGCCGATTACTCTTTTTTGGAGTCGCACTGAAACACTTTCGTAGTAAATAAATGAATATTCACCTTTAAAAGGGAAGGGTTTGCGTTCAGAAAGAACAGACAATTAACGGCCATTACCTTTACCTCAGCATCAGCTCCCATTACTCCTCTACCTAGTCTAGGTAATCAGCTCGGGGGCCAGAAGCAAAACATGTACCTCTTCGACTTACCCCCTCATCCGTCCCGGTTGCCGTAGTTGTCTCTTGCTTCTCGCTTAGTTCTTTTCTCGCTGTTGAGGTTTCCGTTGTTGATGGCTGATAGGACAAGGTTCTTGTTGCCTTCGATCTTGATCTTGATTTTGATTTTGATCTTGTTGTTGTTTTGGTTTTTGTTGTCTTCGATGTTTTTGTTGGCAGTGAAGATGGTGGCCAACTTCTGCCTGTTGATGAAAGTTCCGGTGTTGTAGACAATTTTAGTGAAGTGTCCGTTACCGGTAAGGGTACTGGCGTGGTTTCAGCAGTGGGTAAGTAGTTTGACGTGGTTTCTGATTCCCGCGGCTGTTGCGTTGAGGTTTTGCTCGCTGGTAAGTATCCCAGCGTTGTTTTTGACTTCCTAGGTTTCTTTATTGTAGTCTTCTTTTTTATTGACTTTGACCGCCATTTTCCTTTTTTCTTAGACGTGGTCTCCCACTCGGACGTTTCCCGTGTTCCGTGTTTTTCCAACAAATTCTTTAATTCTGTAGTTCCTATTCCTTCGAGTCCGAATGTTCTCGGAGAGGGGCTAACCCCGGTGGTCTGCTGCCTTTCATGTGCCGTCTGCGACAGTTCTTTTTCAACGACTGCTGCCCGGTCAGCGACGCATTGTTTGTTTCTTTGCTGCAAGGTTATTTACGGTTTTTATTTACTTGATTTACTTGAAGTGTGGGCTAAATATGGGTGTAATGGTGTACGTAAGAACGTTACATTCCTACAAACCTGTGTGCTATAGGATAGGAATTGATTTCCGCGCAAAGAACCTCTATCCATTTTCCGTAAAGGAGCAATGAAAAATGGTTGAATCGTTAGTCTCTTCGCATGAAAGGAACGTAACCCCCATGGAGAGGTCATGAGTGATGAAGAACGGTCAGTTGTCAGAAGCCGCAATCGATATGTATGTTTTCTACAGGTTGCTTTTTGCTATTCCACCTACTCAAGTGCATCACACCCGAATGAATAAAGTGACGATCTCAAATAGGTAACTCACAAATGATGTGATAAGGAGGCAAACAAGCAGAAACTCTTCTAGCCGCCAGATTGGGAACCCTAAAAGAGCCTGGCTGAAAGCTGTTTGGTGAGAAGGGAATAGAGCTGGGTTTGTGCAGTAAGTCTTCTTTAAGGAACCCCAGACGAATATTTACTCGATAATCTCTCCCTAAATTCATGTGTTCTGTTCTTACCCTGTATATTATGAATTAAAGAAAGCTTTGAAGTTGATCAAGCTGTAAAAGTGCCATCTACCACGATGGATTCAGACCTGCCCTCAGGTAGAGCATTCTTTTACGCCTCATTCATTTGCATGTTGATGAAGCATTTTTTGTTGGTCCTCACACTCGGATCTCCACTCGTATGCATTTACTTCTACCAGGCAAACACTTATCGATTTTACGCGCGTGTATGATTGTTACACCTATACGGATGTTCTAGTAGGGTGGGGGAGCAAAAGATCACTTTGGCTTGACTTATCGAGACAAAGATGTTGTTTTCAATCCATGAGGACGCAACTACGAAAATACGTGATATGGGAGCTAATCGGTTGTTGGAACCGTCGTGTGGACCCCACTCTTTCTAAGAATTGAATTTCCATACTGATAGTCTAGGAGTTGAAGTTCCATAGTGTTGGAAACGTCGTGCTTTTGGAACCCCGATGCTTACCGTTTACCTAGAATTCCGTCGGTGTTACTAGATCCGCCCCGAGACAGTTCGGGCGCACTGCATGCTTTTGTACTCACAACTAGGGACACCATTTTTCCTTGTCGAGAAAGGCAGCAACGGACCCGACTAGCCATAGTCTGGTTACCCGTTCTGCCTATGACACCAGGACAAACAAGTGCAATCGGCTCTTATATTAAGACTTGACATTGAGAGCTGTGGAGGATGGTGATCTAAAGGCCTCTCTTCCAAGTAATGTAGGAAACCAACCTCTCATTAACCGAGTGTGAAGAAAACTGAAGCGGCCAGATAGATGGGTGAAGTGTTTGAGCAATGATTATTTCGTTTTATCTTTATCAAGTACCCGTAATCATTTCTATCTATCGCATTCACCTAATAAATGCCGATGCTGAAGATGTAGCATGGTGATGTTGGGCACCCAAGCTGTACTGATTCAAGGGCAGCAAGTAGCTGGTGGCGAGAGGCACAACGGCTCAATAAGCTTCCCGATAAGATCGAACTCCACCGAGTTTTAAGCTAGCTGAGGTCTATCAGCCACTGGGAAGGACGGATAGCTCCGAAAATTATCGCAAGTAAATCATCCTCAAATTCTATGGTCCCTGAAGAGTCGGTGTGAACTAACGCCGGTGATCTAATGCTGATAGCCACTGTCTTACGCTCTTTACATTACATCGACAAATCTCTACCAATTTCAATTTTGTTTTGCCTCTTTATATCTTTCTCGACCCCTACCTGAAGCCTAGCAATCCACGTCTAGCAGATAGAGAAAGGATAGAGAGACGGAGGAAGGAAAGATGATACGGGTAGTTTTCCAGGGCACTACTTCACCACAACCCTTATGAAATGGTCCTCGAGGTGATTTGTTTATCTTACATACTCTTCGCCACTACTTTTGATCTTGCTGGCGTTCTGCCACCTCAGTTTCCACTGGTACTCGATATCATATTGTACAGTACAATGTCCCTGGTCATAGGGTATGACTCAGAACAAACCAATCATGTAATCTGCT